CGCGCTCGCCGCGCTGCCACCTCGTTCTATTCGTTGTCGAGTTTGGTGGCCGCTGGGGACGGCTGCCCGTAGAGCCTTGATCTTGTCTGCGACGGTGTCCTTGGTCTCCGCCTTCATTCGACGAAGGCCCCCCCGACGAAGCAGCTGCATTTGTACACACGGCTCCAAAGCTGCGAACTTGCCCTGCAGGTCGGAGTGGGGCCGCTGGCACGCCGTGTTGCTGCAGCCCAAGTGGGTGAGAGCCCCCCAGCATAGAAGGACCCCGTCCTTGTCGAGAAGTCCCCTTTCCTTCGCCCGGTTGATCTCCTCCGTGGTCAGTTTGGGCCCCCAAAGGTTCCGGAGAGTTGGCTTTGCTGCCGCCTCCGTGCTTTCCGCGTGGGACTTGACCAGGGGCGCGATCTCCGCCGACTGGGACTGGAGCGCCTTGGCGATGGACTCGATGGAGTTCGGCGGCTCGCTGGCTCCCGCCTTTCTGTCCTCGACGCCATACATGCCCGGGTTGCCGATGCGAATGGGGGTGGCCACCTTTTCCGGTGTGCTGGGCCCAACTCTGTCCGGCGAATCCACGACCTCCCAGGACGGAGCCGAGGAGCTTTCGGGGGCCTTGGCGGTGCTCGCTGGTGAGGAGCCCCTGGCTGGGACCCTTTGCCAAAGCCGAACAAACTTCGACAAACCCTTCTGGCCCTTCGCCTGCTCCTCCCTGGCCTGCTTCAAAAGACTAAAAGTCACCTCCTTCAACGACAATCCCCGTTCGAGGGCCAAGTTTGCGCGCACCTCCTCTTCCGTCAAGCCGACCTCCTTGCCCTCGGCGTACTGGCTGAAGAACTCTTCCAGCAGCGGCAACGGATGGTCTCGGGGGGGGGAGTCCAGCATGCCCAACTTCGCGAGGTTCCGTTGGATGCTCGACTTGGGCGTCCCGCCGGGTGACTTCTCCCGGGCCCGCTTAGCTTCCCCAACCTCACTTCGAAGCTCGTCGAGGAGCCGTTTGATCTCGCGCACCCGGGGCTGACCTCGAGGAGGAAGGTCAGGTTCTTCCGGATCGTCCCCCTCAGCTGGAAGCGAACGTGCCGGCGACCTCTTCCGGAAGGAGGCCCGTCTCGACGGCGGGTGGTGGCGGCAGCGTCTGACCCCATTCTCGTCCTCGATGCCAACATGCGAACAGCCCGCCATGCAACAGACCTGGGGCCGACGACGACGTTCATATTCAAAAGCATGCTGCGAGCACAAAGCCACGGACCCGATCTCGTTGATGCGGTCCTCCACAAACAGCGGGCATGTGTTGAGGCCCGCGGATTTGCATGAAGCCCCCGCCAAAGAGTGGTCCCCATCTCCGTCCGACCACCGAACCCGATGGGCCTCACAGACTCGATCCTCAGTCTCTGACTCAGATCCGAAGTCCTTCGGGGGCTTGGCCGGCTTGGGGGTAGTTGCCCATAGCCACGCCCACAAGGTCCTCCCAGCCTTTGCCGCCTCCAGCTCCGCATTCTTCAGCTGGAACTTCTCGGCGTCGAAGTCCTTGGCAATGGCGTAGTCCTTGAAGTGCTGCCCCTCCTCGGAGCAGACCAAATGCCGACAAAGATGCAGTTTTTCGCAGCCACGGCACGCTTCCACAATCACCTGGCTACCACGAAAGGAGTCCGGCTCGATGGGAACGAACAAACCCGGGGACCGTATAGTCTGGTTGTCCGAACCGATCTTGACAACCGCCACGTGCCCTTCCGGCGAACCAAAGCCCACTTCTCGCCCTGCGCCGTCGATTTGAAGAGCCTCAAGTCTGCAGTCTCCGGAATGCGCCCTGTTCCGGGGCCCATAAAATCGGCGCCCGCTGCCTCTGGTACGCCACCGGCCGCCCGTTGGGCCCAGTAGATCAGCGTCCCCACTTTTGGGACCACTGACCGGACCAACCATACCAGGCACATGACGACGAAGGTCACCAGAGAGATGACTGGCCAGCACAGAGCCCAAAGGTAATGCGCCCCCAGGCACGGCAGGAGCAGCATACTCAAGCGAAAGAGTCCTTGACAGCTGGTGCGTACATTTGGCCATGCACTCCCGAACAAAGTCCAACCAATGAAGCTCACAACTGTGTCCAGGACCATGCACAGCCCGCTATCCCCACGACCAGCCCTTGCCACCCGTGGTGCCGCTGCCTGTCCCGTAGAACCAAGCATCCCAGGTCTCCTGGAAGGCGCTTCCCATCGCCCATTTCTCGTCCACCCAGTCACGAAGCTGGGACCATCGGGTCGCGCCCTCATCAGCACCCTTGGGTACCTCGGCGCGGGACGTCGAATTGGAGTGTTCGAAGAGCCAGCCGCCGCCTCGATGTGCTGCCACGAGGGCCAGCACCGCCCGAAGCACATGTGGCATGTCGCCCTACATCACAAGCTTCTAAGCCACAAAAGGCCCTGGGGATCGAGCGCTTGCTCTTCTTGCCCAAAAAGCAACAGCTATCGCTAACTTGCCAATATGCTGATCACGTTCCTGAAGCAAGAGACCAATGATAAGTGTACCATGAGTGACGAGACGGACGAGAAACGAGAACAATTGGGCACATTTGTGAACTACTTCTTGAGCGTCCCCGGCCACGACCCTAGCGACTTGAAGGACGTGACACACGGAATCCCAACACCCTGCCGAGACTATCTCGTCAAGGAAATTAACACGGATCTCCAGAGTCTGATTCAGGCTGCTGAAGAGGGGCGGCAGATCTTGTCCGACTCGACGGCCTCCGGCGATGCTGCAGACGGCCTGATTCAGGTGAAGTCTGACCGGTTGGTTCGTGCCCGGGGCTCGGACCGCATCAGCTTTCTGGAGAGCGGGACGTCAGACGTTGCGGCAGATGACTCTGAGAGAACGCAGGACATGGGTTTCTTCATCTTGTGCTTCTTCATCGGCATGGTTTTACTTGTCCACACAGTTATTTTCTGGAAACTCCACTTGTACTTTTTTGACAAATTCAAATGCCGCCACAGAGAAAGTGGACAGGGTGTTATGGGCTGTGTGGGCACCTTCATTTTCTTGGCAATGGGCGGCTTGTGCATTTTCGGCGCCCTTTGCATTGTTCATACCCGTCGGCATCACGGTGCTTGTGGGCTCTATCCTTGCTTTTAAAGCGATCACCTTAAACAGAGATCAGGGAGCACAAGTCCGAGAAGTCCTCGCCGAGTTGGAAGGCCATCTCTCATTTCGCCATGTGAGCCACGCTTTTTTCGACGGCTGAGCCGAGCTGCCCAGAAGACAAAGATGCATGCGCTCTGCGCGCATCTTCAAAAAAGGAGCGGAGGCACAAGTGACAAGGCACTTATTGATGCTAAGTCCATCTCCGCTGCCTGCGGTTCAGGAGAGTATAGGCTAAAGCAGCCAGAGACGTCTCAACAGTACACACCACGGATTTAGGCGCTATTCGAATACAAGCTGCAGCGTGCGGTGCAGAGCTTTTGCCTGTCATTTACATCTTAGGTGGCCCTCTCCTGGGTTTGCAATGCCACGACTGCTCCAGGTACCTGCATCATACCCCTCCCTGGTCCACACTGCACAAAACCGACACAAAACATCCTCCCTGAATTCTGGATACCATGGCAGGGGAGCTGCTTTCGGAGTTCAAGCGGCGGCGGAGCTTGAAGAGCAAACAGGTGGAATTCGTGGAGGACTCGACCTTGGCAAGTGTTTTCTCCTTCTGCTCGGGTCAGCCAGAAGATGCCAGAAGGTTAGAGAGACACCACAACATACCACAGCTGCAAGCTTTGGAGTCGAGTGTTCAGGCCACTTCGATGTCTTCAAACGGTTCTGGGTTGCACGCGGGGACCTAAACTCCTCCAGATCCTAGACAGTTGCCTTAAGTCCTTGTAAGAGCTCAACTCCTGACATCCCATCATTGAAAAATTCGCGCAGGGTTTAGCACAAAGACCGCATTTCAGCTTCAGATGCCCCATTGGTACTGGTACAGCACAGCTTGGGGATCTGTTTGCACGAAGAGAATACAGACTTGCATGGGGGAACGATTTGGATGTGCAGAGTCGGGATCGAGCCAGGTCCGTCGTGGTGCGTCAGTGAAGAAAAGCAGCTCTACCCTTGTGGCGATGCGCTGTGGATCAAAATGCTTACTTGCTTGTTGCAGCAGGAAGGGCAGTGATGGTTGCCGTGGTTTGAGTCAGCATCTTTCGTGGGTGTTCAGAAAGCTTTGCGGGAGTGTACGCTGCATTGTGTATTGGAACAAGTGGTTGTCAGGTTTCGCAGCGAGCCATTTTCATCATCGCATGACGCAGTCAACACTTCACAGGTGGAGCAAAAGGGTTGTTATGAAGCCGTTCGGAGTCGCCGAAGAACTTCGGGCATGGAAGAGTTTACTCATTACTCGTATCGTAGATGCACAGCAGCGGTTCAGTTCTCATTTGCGTGAGACGTCTAATTAGTCTGGCCTGGCTGCGGGCATGGCCTTCAAACTATGATTGTTCCGCAGTTGCCCGTGTCCGACCTGCAGGGCAGGCTTCAGATACTGCAGGAAGAGGTTTCAGCACTCAAGGAATGCCTCTGCACCAGTGGTGCGTTGAGCCACGACCGATTCTTGGCGCGCCTGCACCGCGAGCGGTTTGATCGGGTTTGTCGTACCCACCCTTTGGAGCTTGATGGTGCGGCAACGTTGACTCGTGCCTTTGCATTGCACGAGCTGACGGTGAGTGTTGTCAGCTTGGCCGGCGTTGCTGCTGTGCGCGCACTTCGGTCTGCATCTCATGCTGTTGGGCGAGCTGCCTGCCGTGCAAAGCCCGCGGCCGACCTCGTGGCAGCCAGCAGAACCTCATCTGATGTTGGGCACCGAAGCTAGATGTTTCAACTTTGCGATCTTGATGAGGTCAGGGACAAATCTTCGTGTGTGGCGGCTATGATGGGACCAGGCCTGGTAGCATTGTTACAGGTGCTGATATCAATATGAAGCTATATGAAAGCAGACAGGCCTGGCCTTGTTGATCTTCGTGTGATGGTGTTGAAGTTTCCCGACATCAGTCAGTCTCAGGGAAATATCATTAGGCAACTTCCTGCCGCTTTGAAGGCTGTTGGAAGACATCCATCGGTTTGATCCCATCTCCCACACTTGGGGTTCAGCGTGGCCCTCGTGCAATGCCGACGGGTCCGATGCAGGTAAGCCCAGCTTTGGAAGTGTTCACTCTTTTTGAGAATTGAAGCGCAGATGCGAAGTTGTGGATGCAGGGCGTGGGAGCCAGTCCCCAAGTTTGCTCCGAGTATTGTCGTCGTTTGACCAAGGTGCCGCCCATGTCACTGGCACGCGAGGCCAGGTAAGCATTTCTGCAACTTGCACCCACTGTACAGTCAGTCTTCGTGAAAGGCACTGTTCTCGGAGCCTTTTGCGGCGCGAGCGGTCAACGTGATTTACGGCATTTTCACATTAAACGGGTCGGACAAGTATGTTGCAAAGAGTTCCGCGAGCGAAGCCTCCCCTGCATCAAAACGGATGCAACGTGCAAGGGTTCTGTGAGTCTGTTTTTTTGGTATTCCTTAGGCGTTGTGGAGCGAAATTGTGCTGTAAGCTGAGAGACGACAGACGACTTGGTCCTCAAAATTCATGTCAAGCGCAACTTGCTCTTCAAAGGCCAGCGACAGGGTGTAAGGCAAGCCTTCAGTAGTCGCAGAGTTCCCAGGACCGCTCAACGACTTTCGTGTATCCGAATGCATCTGAAGGCAATCTCTTCATGAGCACGGAAGCAGGGAAGCGCGACGTGGGGGCCATTTGGGATGATTTGCAGCAGACCACCGCCTTGCAGCACAGATACACCTAGAGCTGTTGTTCTTCGCTTTTGCGAGACATGTTGCGCAATCTCGCTGAAAGTCCGATCCGGGCCAGAATGACTAAGCCGCCGGGTGTTTCTTCAACACATGCCACAGCATTTCATGGCGTGTAGAAACAGGTTAGCCACCAACGGGGCATGCTTATGAGCTCGATGGACGAGAGTGTGAAGGGTTGGGGCACACAAGTCGGGCAGGACAATTGGGCTGAGGTTCCGAATTTTCTGGGGACGGTTGGGGGCACCATGGATGAAGAAGTGCACGACTGACAAAGGCTTTCCATGCACGTCAGGCTAGTCGCCTGGAGCTTGTTGCTGGTTCTTGGTGCCCTGGGTGTGGAAATGGAAAGGCAGCGGTTGCCGCGGTGATCGGAGGTCAGATCGTCGTTTGTGGAGGCGGGGTGCTCGTCCTGCTTATCGAACCCAGGCCTGGATCAAAGGTTAGGGCCATTCCGAGCATTCGAGGAGTATCGTAGCAGCTGCCGGTCTAATGTGTCCGTTTATCTGAAAGCCAAAACAGATTGAATGCAAGACCTACGGATTTGCAGTCTCCCAAGTATCGCTTGCCAAACCGTCGGCTGCGGGTTGTGGCCTCTTTTCTGCGAGCGCTGATGAGTGCATGGAGGTGGCAAGGGGTGCTGTGCATCTTGTTTTGATATTGCCTAAGTCGATGTCACTCTTTTAGTAAGCTTCAAGTGCCGGCAGCTGAGGCCGGAAATAGTGTGCTTTGGTTTCAGTGTTGCAAGTTATTTAAGCACATGTGTGGTCAGAGCCGCAGGTTTCGACGGTCAGCGTCAGCTAGATCAAGCAGAACGCTTCGATCCACACCAAGGCAGACAGTCGCAGTGCAGTGGAGAGACGTGAAATGACGTGAAGACATGTTGTTGTCAGATGTTCTCAGCTGTCCTCAGACGATTTCAGATGTTCTCAGCAATTGCGAAGCCTTCGCATGCGAAGACTTCGAGTAAGTTGCTGCATTTCCACCAATCACCTGCAGTGAAACTATTTTGCGAGGTTCTTGGGGGACCTTGCCGTCCATGACATGCAGGCACATGCGGGCAAGGTTTGTCTTCTTTTGCGTCTTATGTGGCTAGGCACTCTTGTCTTGTACGTTGGCACACGTTTCCCGACACTGCACGTTGGGAGAACATGGCTGCTTAAGCACCTTGCGAAAGTGTTTTTCCGGCTCGGCACAACCATACAACATTGCGATGAGATGGTGGGGAACGACTCGGGCAAGCTACTACATGGGTGAGCTTGGCAGGCGGGCAGGCGCAGCGAGCGCCGTTGTGAAAGGCCGGGACCGTTTGTGACCATGGTAAGGGTCTCCATTGGGGCCAGGAGATTACTTGTCGTTTCTTCCTGCTCGCTACTGCGATGGTGCTTCGTGTTGCCAGCGCCGTGAGACATGATTTTTTATGCACATGCTGGGCTGTACGGCCGGAAGCACTGATGTTTGCACAGAACTTGCGTCGTAGATCTTGTTTTCTTGTCCTGCGGAATGTTGGGGAGTTTGAGAGTCCATTGCAGTATCTGCCGACTGGCAAACAAACTTGTAGATCATGCAGGCATGCGCCATTCTCAACGGAAAACTCGAACCTTGAAATTCGCCATACTCGTTTGGTCCAACGAAGACAACTGTTCTGATCGCGGTTGCTCAGCCAAGTCCATTTGAACGCCGAATCTGCTGCGGCTCAGCATGTGGAGCTGACTCGAAAATTCGCCGCGAGGAGGATGGGTGCAGCTCCCGGCAGTCCTCGGCATTTTACTACGCGTTTTGAAAACAAAACGTACCGGAAGTTGAGGTCATATCAAAGTTCACCAAAATGTGACGAGCTCCGAGCACGATTTTAATGGCAGTTGTAGGTGGTGGAGGTATACCTGGGACCTAGAATCTGTGATTTCGTCCTGTGAATCATTGTTCAAAAGTTCCGTATCGATTGCGGCTTTTGCAGAAGAAGGTCACCATGAGTGCTTTGCGCCCCATGCCGGGTCACCTGGATGTCCATGTGCTACAGTACCTATTTGTATGCTAGGCTTCAGTGTCAGCTTTTGCTGTCTCAGCAGGGTTTGCAACCTCAGGAAACCTCGTCGTCTGCGGTGGATTCAATGGACACGGCCTCAATGCGGTGCTTTGTGGGCTTGCTACACGTACTTTGCGTGTCCGTGCATTTGCATTTTCCTTGGGGGTCCATCACTTGGGATCTTGGGGTGGCATGGCGTCGGGAGCTGGGTCAAGTCTAAAAGCGAACCTAACTTCTGACAGCACACTTGTGCAATAGGACCTTCAAGCTTGAAGCTCCACTTGTGATTGCGACCAAGTCGAAAGGCTATGCTTCAATTACCTTTTCGCTTAGCTCACGAATGTCGTTGTCCTCGGCCTGCCGCTGTCTCATGTTGGCTTCATGCTTATGCTCATCATCCTCCTCCTACCCAGTAACTCCCAGTATTGCTATGCACTCCACATTCACGTCAACCATCATCCATGATTATCTTCCCTGAAAACCTTCGCCATATCGCCAATAGTTGCAATAACAAGGTGAGCATTGCCTGTCGTCAGTGGAGAAGCTGAACTTAGCAGATGGCTGTTGGGTGCATCCCCGAGCCTATGTTGCTGTTTGATCGGTCAGGGTTTGAGGGAGTCATGTTCAAGATTGCGTGGGCATCGGGGAGAGTGATGGGTATGCTGTCAGTAGCAAGTCGTCGCTGATCTGCCGGAAGCACTGGCAAAATAGTCGTTTTGGTGGTGAAATTCGTTGGAAGCGATTGCTTGCCCGGCTCTCGCTTGTTCCGTTCCCTCGCTCGCTCTTCTCTCTCTCTCTCTCTCTCTCTCTCTCTCTGTCTGTCTGTCTGTCTCTCTCTCTCTCTCTCTCTCTGTCTGTCTGTCTCTCTCTCTCTCTCTCTCTCTGTCT